GGGGGGGGGGGGGGGGGGGGGGGGGGGGGGGGGTGTATAAGGGAAATATGGTCAGATGAGGAGTGGGGGGATGACTTGGGCCGAATAGGAAAGATAACAAAAAAAAACAGAGTGGAAAATGGAACACGGCAAAGCAAACCATCAAAATGAAAGGGGGGAGGGAAAGACAAAAAAGAAGCTACGAACCGAAACAAAAAGGTGTGATCGGGTCATTGATTTTTGTTTGAAGAGCGGACAGGTGGAGCATGGTCAGACGGGGAGTGGGGGTAACTTGGGCAAGAGTACAAAACAGACAAAAAAAAACAGAGCGAGAAAATGGAACGGAGCAAAAGAAAACAACAAAACAACCCCCCCCCAAAAAAAGAAAACCGAACTTACAAAGCGAAACAAAAACGGACACGAATAATGACATGAAACAAAACAAGCAAAACAAAACAGCACAAAATTGGACTTCACATTATTTGCTGATCACTAGAATCTCTACGCCTCTCAGTCATCAGAATTCACGACTTTTGCAGCCACCGACATACAACACCCTCTCGGTCACACAGAAAGGAAGAATAACAAAGCTGCAAAGCCGCTCGTGCAGTATCTTAGATTCTTAAGTAATCGATGCACTTCGTTCTGTCCGTTGGGAGCGTGTCTAGCATTGGCTATACCTTCAACCTATTCTGATCATGTGGAGGTACCTTTTAACCTTTTTCGGTCTAGCATTGGCTAAACCTTCAACCTATTCCGAGCTATACGTGCAACCTTTTTTGTCTGCGCAAACATGCCTAGTATGTATGTGGAGGTACCTTTGAACGGCTTGACAGCCGTTCACATGCGCAGAGACACATCCATCACAGGCACAAACATGCCTCGTATGTGAATGTACCTTGGACAGCTTGACGGCCATGTACATGTGCAGAGACATAAATGTGAAATGTTTTTTTGATTGGGATGTACGTCTGTCTCCCTTCCCTTTGCGCCTGTCATATCAGTGTAGGTATCACCAGGGTTGTCGAGCCCCAGCCCCAGGGCCCCGGCAGGGGTGCCGGGTTCCGGGGGTGGGCACCCCCAATAAAAATAAAAATAGTGGGGGGTGCGCAGCAAGAGTGCGCACCCTGTGGGCTAAACCCTAAAAATGGGGTTTTGTGCCTCTCCCCGGAGCTCCCCCAGGGCCACACCCAGCACTAGTGGGACCGGGGTGGCCGGGGGTGCGGGGCGGGGGCCAGGGCCAACAGC